CAAAAGTCTGGCTTCAAGGAGGCTCAGTCTTTCAGAGGCCTAGCCCCCCAGAATATCGAGGTGCCCCCCAAGACTAAGCTCCTCCCCTGTCCCAAGCATGTCCAATTATGACCCCTGTCACCACGGGCGCGGCGCCACTACCCAAGGAACCAAGGTCCACGGACGAGCTGCAACTTTCCAAGGTTCCAAGCCATGTTCTTTTTCAGGCGACTTTTTTTAGGGGCACGTCAACTAGGTACTCCGTACAGTCCACAGACTTCCTTGACTTTAGCGTCCGCCGGGCCCAGATCCAATGGAAGGAAACCTCCACTGAGTTTGGCACCTGCATCCAATGGATGAGCACATAGCACATGCACCACGGTACCACCAAACACCACCACCACCACCACCATACCACCGATACCAAGCCAGACCACTAGGATACTTTTCCTTTATCCACGACGCACTACGAATACCTTACCTTTCGAAGCTCTGCCGTCCAATTCTCTTCGTGAGGCATCTCTGCTTACTCCTGCAATGAGGCCCTGAACTCATTTCCTCTTTCTTTCCTCATCCTCATCGACGTAATAGGGCGACCTGCGATAAACTGGCCCTTCTCTTCTTCCCCCGAAAGCACCCGACCAAGGCTCGAGAGACAAGCGACGCAGCCCGCCCGCCGCCACAAAAGGGGCAGGCTGACAGCCAGCAACCAACAATGCGACGTCGCCAATGGACGGTCGTCATTCTCTTCGTCTTCCTGTTGATATGCGCATACACAGTCTTCACACTCCCCTCCGATCGACGACCGATAGTCCCCGTCCCAGGCTCCGACAAGCCCCCTCCGCCCCCGCAAGATCAACAGACACTCGGTAACGATGCTGCTGCTGCCGCCGCCCCTCCTCCCGACAGACGACCAAAGTCCGCTGGCGGCACCGGGTCACACCCCATGTGGCACCTCATGACGAGCGCCGAGAAGGAGTTCCAAGATACGCTGAAGCGCCAGTCCAAGACCCTCGAGGACGCCGTCAAGGAGTACAAGCGCCGCTACAACATCCCGCCGCCGCCCAACTTTGACAAGTGGTTCGAGTTTGCAAAGGCCAGCGGCGTACAGCTCATTGACGAATTCGATATGATACACGAGATGCTCACGCCCTTCTGGGGTCTGAAGCCAGCGACGATACGGGAGCGGGCGCGCGAGGCTTTGGGCTTCGACAATAAGCTGATCGGTCTCCTGATCCGGGACCACAAGATCAAGCACATCCAGGGTGGCCAGGATTGGCAGCGCGACGCCACCTCTGGCATGATTAAGAAGTTCATCGAGCACCTGCCCAGCATGGACATTGCCTTCAACATACACGACGAGCCGCGCGTGGTCGTCCCCCACGAGGACCTCGCACGCCTCGTCAGCCGCGCCAAGGACGTCAACATGCCCAAGGCGAACGCCGCCATCAACCCGGAAAACGCCTTTACGAAGCGCGCCGCCGGCCTTAGCGACGGTAACATCATCGAGGAGTACAAGCGCACCCGCTTCAACGTCTTTGCCCACCAGCCCACCTGGACGCACTCCCGCATGTCCTGCCCGCCCGACAGCCCCTCGCGCGGCCTCGAAGACGACGAGCTGTCCGACGACATGAGCAAGTACGGCGTCAGCGAGCTCGGCTTCGTCTACAACGTCACCGCCATGTCGGACATTTGCCTCTCGCCCTCCCTAAGCGCGACCTACGGCTTCTTCGACCGCCCCAACGCCTACAACATTGTCCACGACCTGTTCCCCATCTTCTCCCAGTCCAAAATCTCCTCCTACAACGACATCCTCTACCCCTCACCCTGGTACTGGTACAAAAAGGTCGCCTACGACGAGTCAAAGGACATGCTCTGGGAGCAGAAGCAGGACCGCCTCTACTGGCGCGGCTCCACGACCGGCGGCTTCTCCCGCAACGGCGGCTGGCGCCGTCAGCACCGCCAGCACCTCGTGCAGAAGCTCAACGCCGCCGACCAGGCCAAAATCTACACCAACCGCGGCGACGAGCAGACCCCCAAGTGGGAGGTAAAAGAAGTACCCCGCGGCGACTACCGCGAGATCGTCGACGTCTTCTTCTCGCACGTCGGGCAGTGCGACCCGGGCGACTGCGACGCCGAAAAGGAGTTTTTCAAGATCCAGGGCCACGCAGAGCAGCAGGACGCCTGGAAGTACAAGTACCTCCTCGACATGGACGGCAATGCTTTCTCGGGCCGCTTTTATGCGTTCCTGCAGTCGCGCTCCCTCGTCTTCAAGCTCGCCATCTTCCGCGAGTGGCATTTCGAGTGGCTTCGCCCTTGGGCGCACTATATCCCCATGAGTCTGCAGGGCGACGACTGGCTCGAGAGCGTGCGCTTCTTTGGCGACGGCGCGCTGGGGCGCAATGAGGCTGAGCGTATGGCGCTTAGTAGCCGCGACTGGGCGAATAAGGTGCTTCGCAAGGAGGATATGGAGGTCTGGTTCTTCCGCCTCCTTTTAGAGTGAGTACCTTGCATACCTGCATTGCGCACCATTTACTCTTCTAGATTTGCTAACAACATCGTTGCAGGTACGGTCGTGTCATTGACGACAAGAGAGACACCATCGGCTTCGCCGTCGAAACCATCCCAGAACCACCGGTGTAGGACACCTCTCACTGCGTGCCTGCGTGTTCTGTCCTGTCTACCCTGGCATATGTTCATTGCCGTGGGCCAAGTTCACGTTGTATGCGTCTTCTATGTAATTTTTTTTTCCCTTCCTTCATCGGGAAAAAGCAAAAAAAGGAGTTCTCCGGGTACGATATGACATAAAGGAGGGAGAGGAGGAGCCTAACATGAAGTTCCCTTTTTTTTCGGGGTCTGTTGTTTTTTCTTTAGAGAGTTCCTTGTTCCTTATACCACATTGGAGTGCTTTCTTCGTATGTCTTCCTTTTCTGTTTCTCAAAGTATCATTAAAATGAACCAGAAATTACGAGACGGGGAAAAGATACCGCCGCCGCTGTATCTCATAAACCGTCGCTGGATGAGAAAGGAGATCCTACATATACTTAATTCAAAGTCATGACAACATATACTTCAATCCAAAACAGTGCTTCAGTTGCGTGAGAGTATTTTTATCATTGGGTCAGCCTTAATCTAAATAGCCATCATCGCGGCTGCCCTGGGTTTTAGTTTTCACGTCCAACGCCAAATCGTCTGTGAAAAGGAACTGATGTTACATCGCCGCGGCTCCCTGGTCATCATGCCGCCCCTCAATCCTCATCCTCCTCATCCCCATCAGCATCTCCATCAGCGTCCCGGTCCGAGGGTGTGCCAGGCGCACGAGTCTCGTCAGCCGGCTCGGCCTCTTCGACATAGCCAATGGGCTTCTCCTTGTACCGCTTCATGTTCTCGGCGGGGGGCCCCTTTGGATCGGTAATGGAGATCTCCACCTCGTTGACAACCTGCGTCTCGTCGTCCACCTGACTAAGGGTACGAGCAATATTCTTGGCGCGCTGAGGACGGATGGTCGTGCGCTGGATGACCGGGTAGTAATACGCCGCCTTGGGTCTGCCGCCTGCGGAGGGCTCGTCGTTGAAGGCGAGAATGACCTCTTCGCTGTACTTTGTGTTGTGGTCTAGCTCCATCTCCTTTGTGGTCTCGTAGGCGCGCAGACGGGAGAACTGGAAGCAGGGGTTGGAACCGCTCTGGTACGTATAGAGCTCCTCGTCGTCGCGGTCGGGGTTCTCCGGGTCAAACTTTGCTCGGAAGTTGTCGCCCGTCATCTTGGTCTTGGGGAGGAAGAAGCTGTAGTCCATCAGGTTGGCGGGCTTAGGGTTGCGTGCAGGATCGCGCTCATGGGCCTCGACAGCGGCCTGGAAGGCCTCGTTCTCCTCGGGGCTCCTGTCGAGCGGGCGGAGCAGACCGCTAAGCAGGCGGCTGTCGTATTTGTTGGCGCTGGCCACGGGGTTCGTGAGGAGCTTGACGGTGACGTAGGCACCCGAGTCGGGGAAGGCGTCGTGGTCGGGCAGCAGTGGCAGAGACTGCGTGAGATGGACGTTTGGTTTGCTTGGGTGGCGGTGGCGGGTCGGGTTGCTGAGGAAGCGCTCGGCGCTCTCGAAGCTCTTCTCAATCTTGCGTCTGATGGCAGCCGGTGAGTCTTTGTCGGGCTCGGGTGAACGACGCTTCTCTGCGCGCTTGATCTTGGGGTTGATGAATGCTCCCGCGGCAACACCAGCCTTCCTGGGTGCTACGGAGGAAATGTATTCTGTTCTTCTCAGGAAGGAGACTGATGCATCGGCGTTGCTCTTAGCTCGGCCAAGGGTAGACAGTGGTCTCAGGAGGGCTCTATCGTGAGGATGGACGGCAGGCGGATGCGAGGAGGCTTGGATAGCTGGATCATCGTCAGTACTGAGCTCCCACTTGGCGCAATGCGGCCGCGCTTACAGCTCTCGTCTCCGTCAAAGATACCCGGCATGCCCACCAGGTCCAGGGGCATGCCGAGCTCCGCATCAACCTCAATGTTGAGCGGCTGTTCTCTCGCCAGACGTGACGCGAATCCCGGCGTTGTGTATTGGCCACTAGCCAGGCCGGTGTTTGGGATGTCGAGGAGCTTGGGAGGGTTAGGAGGCGGCGGGAGGGCGTTGGAGTATCGGATTCGGGCAATGAAATCCTGATGGATCATGCGCTCGCCGCCGCGAGGCGCCGAGGACGACATCGTGGCTGTTCAAATGCCTTTGAGTTGGCTGGCTCGGTATTTCAGTCGTAATTGAAAGTTGGATTGAATTGACGACGAGGAGAGGATGAATTCGAGGATTGGCGGCGGGGAGCTGTGGTCGCGGTCGCGTTGATCAGGAAGGTGCAATTGGTCCGGAAAAGTTCCACGAGGCTGGAATTTGGGGTACCTGTATGTTCCGCCAGCCAACGCCCGGACCTCAACATGGAGCCTTATCAACTCTATCAGACGAAGACACAGCACCCCCAAATCCCCAAGCTGTCAAGCTTGACGTTGATGGAAACCAAAAAAATGAGACGGCGCCGTGTCATGGATGAAGAATCAGAGACATGTTTGTCCTCTCTATTACAATACGTAGTATGAGATGAATGATTTCAAAGCAAAACCGTCACTCATCAACGGGGCAATGGCTCCCGACCGTGCGGGAGGACCTCCTGATGCGCCCCGTGTAGTTCGCCGTCGCCGTCGCAACCATCCATGCACTCATACCCGTGGCCTCCTTTCTATAGGTACATACAGTTTGCCTTCGCCTATCGTCGCCAATCCAGACTTCGTCAAAAATGTGTATTCATCCTCGCATACTGTTTAATTTTTTTCTCCGGCGTGCCTAGACTCTTACACATGTCCCGCCTCGACGGGCGTGACAACGACATTTGTCTCTCGTAAAAACCCGCTGATCCCATCGCGTCGTAAAGTTGCGTGGCCCCCTTTAGGAGCTGTTCTTGGCGTAGTTCTTCTTGCCAAAGGTGAAGGGAACGTAGCGGTACTTGATCATGTGCTGAATCTGCTTGCGCACTGCAAAGGGGGTTTGGTCAGCTCTGCGCCAAGGTGAATGCCAGGGAGACAAGGGACGGGGGTGAACTGTACTCGTCAGGAAGAAGAGGATGAACCAGTACATGACCAGGACGGGCCAGAAGACGGGGACATTGAAGATCTCCCACCAACTGCAGAAGAAGCCGATGGCGATGGCGCGGGTGGCCCAGTACCAGAACTTGAACTCGGGGAGGCGGCGGATGAAGGGCTTGAACTCCTCGTCCTGCTTGGTGGGGAGAATGCCGACACCACCGTCCTCCATCTCAGTGTCCATGGCCTCGTTGGAGGGGTCGAACTTTGGTTGCAGGAAGGCCAGGAACAGGTTGAGCAGGTAGATTCCGAGAGCGTAGGCGACAATGTACCAGCCTTGCGCCACGAAGATGCGAACGAAGAAGCCCAGGAGGCACACGCCCGTGGCGATCCATCTGTAAAGCACGAAGGGGGTTGACTGATCGAGAAGCGCTTGGTATTGCTGCGATGGGTGTTAGCAAGATGCCGTCGGTGAAGTCGGGGGAGTTTATCGTCGTCGTACTCTTTGCAGCTTTGAGGTGTGGGCTGTGACCGACGAGAAGGCAGTCTGCTCCGGCTCGGAAGAGTCCATCTTGGGCGATTGCTGCGCAAATGAACTTCTGGGTTGAATGACCGTGCAAGAAGCTTGTTCGGGGATACACGCGTGGGTTGACGCGAAGTTCTAGCCGTTAACGAGGGTGCGAAGCTGGGATGATGATGCTGTGGGAAGAGGCCGCCGCTGCGCTATCGCGATCTGTCCGGACGAATTTTTGGGTTGACGGAATCTCTGGAAATGGGTTCAGCCACGTAACGTAACGGAAGGCTTGCAACAAACTGTCCCTTCCCTTTGAGATTGGCAGCGCGCTGCACTGGACCGCGCCTGCTTTTTTGGCCCGAATCTTATCCGGCCCAGTGATTGGATTGCGCACGTCAGTGATTGGAACCCCTGGAAATGGCCCGAATGAGCCCCTGTGGCGCAGCCTGCAGCCTGGAACCATCCAGAGCTTGGGAGGACGGGGTCCATCGTCTACTGGACCAGTATCTCTTATCCAGGGGACCAGGATCCCGCTGCCACAGGTAATTGCTGTGTTGGAAGATCGAGCCTGTGACGCGGGGGAAGCTACCACAGTGCGCCGCGAGTGTCTGTGCCTCGCCCGACTGTATCCTCGGCTTTACAGAGCCGATGCTTTCCAGCTATCCCTCGAGCTTGGATTAATGTGAGCTGGAGCTCGACCTACATGTTACATCACCGCGCCATCAACAGTTTGTTTCATTTATTAAACACAAGATTCTGTATCAATTGAGGTCGATATCAACCATCTCGTACAATACCACGGCTCGTCCATTCTGTTCGCTACACGTCACATCCCATTCACATTGAGCGTCTTCTCGAGCTCTCACCTCACCATGAACTCACTCAGATGCCTTCGGCCGGTGGCCTCGCGAATGCAGGCGCCGACGCTGCCCAGACTCACACGTGGATTCGCCAGCAAGACATACGAGTTCATCCAGGTTTCTCAGCCCAAGCCTGGCGTTGGTCAAGGTAATTGCTGCTCTAGTCATAATCATCACACTACAACAATGAAGCTCACCATGATCCACTTTAGTGACGTTGAACCGCCCCAAGGCCTTGAATGCCCTTTGCACTCCCCTCATCCATGAGCTCAACGATGCGCTGAGGGCCTTCAATGCGTCGGACGAAACATCCGTCATCGTCCTGACCGGCTCCCAAAAGGCCTTTGCCGCCGGTGCCGACATCAAGGAGATGGCCCCCCTCACCTTTTCCGAGGCATACACCAAGTCCTTCATCGAGTCGTGGTCCCTTCTCACCACTGAGGTCAAGAAGCCCATCATCGCTGCTGTCTCGGGACACGCGCTCGGTGGAGGCTGTGAGCTGTCCATGATGTGCGACATTCTCTACTGCACCGAGACTGCCAACTTTGGCCAGCCCGAGATCAAGCTCGGCACGATCCCGGGTGCGGGTGGCAGTCAAAGACTCACCCGGGCCATCGGAAAGTCCAAGGCCATGGAGCTGATCCTGACGGGCAAGTCCTTTAGCGGTGCCGATGCCGAGAAGTGGGGTCTCGCAGCCAAGGCGTTCCCTTCGTACGAGGTTCTCATGGAGGAGACGCTCAAGACGGCCGAGACCATTGCCGGCTACTCGAGGGTGTCCATCAACGCGTGCAAGGAAGTTGTGAACAAGAGCCAGGATCTGCCTCTGAGGGATGGTGTCGAGTTTGAGAGAAGAGTATTCCACAGCTTGTTCGGCAGCAACGATCAAAAGATTGGCATGAAGGCATTCGCCGAGAAGAAGAAGGCAGAGTGGACTCACTCTTGAGGGCGGCATGGCATGTCTATGAAAGGATAGTTGTATGCGAAATAGCCGAGTCTGGCAAAGACATTATGTTGTGCAACCATGATCTTAGGCGAATGAATGTGCTGCATGTGTTTGGGGAAATCCGTCAAACTGCTCGGCATGAATAAGATCATGTAAGAGCACAGTCAGCTCCAGCACCGACTTTTGCTTGGCTGTGTTGCTCTGCAGGAAATAGGATGATATTACTTTTCGGGGTCTCTCGTACAGCACTCGCTTCCATGCATGATTACTCTAGTCCCGAGACTCTTTGCCAAGCTAGTAAGTGCATAATAAATGCTACATAAACCAAACAGTCTTCAACCTTCAAGAACAACTCACATGTCTGGCCGAGAATACGCAGTTTAGACCTTTTAGTCTGAAGAAATCCGGAGAGTCGGTGGGCATTGAGTTCGTATTTCCAGGAGCCTACAGGGGCTAGCCCGTCCCAAAAGGCAGCGGAGGGGTTGCAATGATCTCAGCTTATTGGCTCCGCGCAGGAGTTGGGATGCTTTTTGGAGCTAGGGGCAGGGGTAGGGGTCGGCGGTGGAACCAACGTGGGGTTGACTTGACACCCAACTTGGGGCGGACAGCGGGCAGCCGTAGCCTGTACGGAGTACCTTAGGCCACACTGGACCCGTCCCTTAGCATCCAATCCATCTGTCGGGGGCCACCTCCCAGGGCGGTTTCTGACCATTTCTGACCCCTTACACACCTTTCTTTCCCTTGAGCCTGTGAGGTCCAGTGCTTCTGCTGCAGCGGCCACGGCGCGCCTAGCTTTCGGCCCCGCCACCCACCTCACCTAAGGCTCGCCTGACAGCCAGTCTTAAACCGACATGTCCCCCTCGCGATCCCGCTGGCCAAACCTCCTCATGACATTGTCTCTGTGTCCGGCATTCCAGGGATCGCGCGGAGCGACAGTTTCTGCATGGATTCCTCAAGGCCCGCGCTCGATCTGGAGGGCGAGTTGACGTGCTCTGTAAGTTCGCCCGCTGTCGTCTGATCCAACGATTGTAGCGCCGCCCTAGAAGAGGGGCACTTTTTTTTTCCAAACCCCATTCGATTCTGCTGCAGGACTCTAGAGATATATGTGCGCTGACCGACTTTTTTGTCTTGGCTTCTTCTAGATATGCACCGAGCTCCTCTATCAGCCTCTGACTCTCCTCGACTGTCTACACACATACTGCGGTGCCTGCTTGAAGGACTGGTTCTCTTTCCAAGCGCAGCAGGCCGAGAACTCACCGACCCCGCCCGCACCAGGGACAAACATCTTCACCTGCCCGTCATGTCGTGCGCCGGTTCGCGATACGAGGCACAATGCCACCGTCGCCACTCTCCTCGACATGTTTGTAGCTGCGAACCCGGACAGGAGGAGGTCTGAATCCGACGTGGCGGAAATGGTGAAGAAGTACAAGCCGGGTGACCAGGTGCTGCCGGAAGTCAAGATTCCCGAGAGAACACCGGAAGAGAGGCGCGCAGAGGAGGAAGAGAGAAGGTTGCTGGAAGATGTGCGGGAGATGAGCCTCAGAGATGCTGGAGTAGACTCATCCTCGGGGCATCGACATCGACGGCGGAGGGAGGACAGCAGCTCTGCTGACGGGAGAACGAGACGGAGCCGGGACCACAGTCGAGACAGTCGACACACCCACAGACATGAGGGTAGTCGGAGACCGCGAGATGACGAAGGGAGGTTCAGTGGAGACCAGCTGCAGCCGGATTCGAGGTCGGGCGATCAAAGGAGACATCGGAGGAGTGAGTCGAGACAGCGTGCCCAGGAGTCATCCGACATGCGGCGTCGGCAAATCGAGCACCAGTCGTCACTCAGATCACTCATAAGCTCGAGCGATTTGAGCGAGCGCGACGTTCAAAAGGAAATTGAGGATTTTGCTAGGCAAATTCAGGAAGAGGGCTTGTTGGATGGGCTTGATCTGGACAACATCGACTTGAGCCGGAACGACGAGCTGAGTCGGAAGATTACAGAGGCTTACAGACGACGGCAACGGGAGCGGGAGCGCACGAGGGCCGAAGGAACGAGGAGGAGAGACACGAGTGGCCAATCCAGGCACTCTCCAGATCGCGTGCAGGAGATCAGGTCAAGTGCTTCGGACACCAGCAGGCCCAGTAGCAGGCAACGGCCGCACTCAAGGTCAACCAGTGCGACTGGGTTCCCCGAAGATCGCAGCCGGCCGCCACTCTCGCAGAGCGCTCTGCATCTTGAAGTTCGACCAGAGGAGAGGCGGCGACGAAGGCGAACCTCGAGCGGCGGTCGTAGCGCGACGACACCCCTTCCAGCAACGCAGTCCGAAACCCGTGTAGCCACTCGATCGCAGACCGATCTGTCGTCACTGACTCACTTTGGTGAAGCAGTCGCCCCGAGAACCGTCTTCACCGAGGCGAGAAGCTCGAGTACGCCGTCAGTACCTACCACGACGCAGTCGCCGACAACCACCACCTCGCCAGCACCGCGCGAGCTTACCTTTGCCAACCGCATGACAAACTCGTCTGGGTTGGTGTCCTCCAACTTTGCTGCGTCTCCGCCCATAGAGCCGTTGTCACCCCGGCTGCAACGACCCAACCGGCCGGCAGACTTGTCCATCATCAGCCAGGCTACTTCAGGGCCGGTTGGGCTAGGGTTGGGTTTGGGAATCGGCAGTCCGACGACCCCCGGCCATCAACGAACACGCTCGCAACTGTACCCAGAGCCCTCGATTACGTGTTCCCGCTGCGCAAAGCAGCACATCGAGTACGAGCTACACTACAACTGCGGGATCTGCGCCAGCGGCAACTGGAACATCTGCATCGACTGCTACAGGTCAGGCAAGGGCTGCTTGCACTGGTTTGGCTTCGGGTACGGAGCGTGGGCCAAGTGGGAAAAGGCTCGGCACACGGCACACGAGGATATCCCCAGACCTCACATGCTGACGGCGAATCGTTACCTCCAGCCAAAGATCATACCGGGTGGAGCGGAGGGTAGGCGAACCCTCACAACCGACGACCCGATGAAGCGGTTGGAGAGCGGCAACTTCTGCGCTCGATGCCAGACCTGGGCCAACGAGTGCTTCTGGCGCTGCGATGTTTGCAACTTTGGCGACTGGGGTTTCTGCAATAACTGCGTGAACCAGGGGCGATCGTGCACTCACCCCCTTCTGCCTCTAACGTATCAGCCTCAGTCGTCACACACGCCGCCTGCCAGTCCCAGGTCACCCCGGCCACCACACTCAGCTGCTGTGCTGACGGGGCCTAACATCCATAATATCGGTCCCTTCAAGCCCCTGACGTTCACAACACGTTGCGACGTCTGTCAGGACCCCATCTCTCCTAGTCACAGCCGATATCACTGCTTCACTTGCACCAGCTCCATCGAGCCGGACACGCTTCCCGGCGACTACGACATTTGCACAAACTGCTACGCTAACCTCGAAGCGCGCGACCAAATCAGCCCCGAGAACGGGCACGCGGGCTGGCGCCGGTGTCTCAACGGCCATCGCATGATCGTAGTCGGCTTCCGCGACGGACCGGGCGGGCAGCTGCGGCACATACTATCCGACCTCGTGGGAGGCCGCAACCTCCGCATCACGCAGTCAGAGGGCACCGACGACCAGGCCCCGCAGAAGTGGTGGTGGCACGAGGGCGGGCAGATGCGGGAGCGCTTCGTCACCAGGGACGTTGCGGCTGATGCGCCGAAGACGGGCGAGGGCCTCGCACAGGGGTTCCCCGCGGACGGCGGCGTCGGGATGAGGGCGACGGCGACGTGGGCGTGGTATCCCAAGGCCGAGGACGAGCTGTTGTTTCCCAAGGGGGCCGAGATCCGGGAGATTGAGGACGTGAATGGGGACTGGTTCTTTGGAGTGTACATGGGCGCGAAGGGACTGTTCCCATCGCCGTACGTGAGACGGCTTGATGATCATGCATGATTGGGAATTTGAATTAGTGGTAACGGGGAGAAGTTTGAATAGTAAACGCCGTGATGAATGCATCGGCGATTTGCACGTATCCTACTCGGATGCTCACCTTAATAGGCGAAATGGATAGGTCATGGTTCATTGATGATCTCTCTGTGGGATGCTGCTTTATCGTAATACTCTTAAACACAGGCCGATATGTGAAAGTACGGGTTACCAACAGCTCGAGAAGTCGGTGGACTCAATGAACCAACTCGGCTCGGCCGCCGCAAAAGTCACCGACTGCCGGCCGCAACCCCCGGCCCCGTCACCCGCGCGCCCCACCTACACGGCCGCTAGCGGCTCTGACGTGATTTCCAAAAGCTGAACCCAATTGAAGAAACCCCACTACTACGGATGCTTGCAAGCTTAGAAAGCCGAATGCCGGAGGCCCGTTTCTTGAGCGACTTCGACTCAATTGCCTGAACTTCTTTCTCGCTACCCATCCGTCACCGACGAAATTGATTGAGCACACATCTTGAAGCTTTCCTCCAGCTCCCCCAAGAGAAAGCCCAACATGAGCCGCATCGCCGTGCGTCGCTTCGCGACGACGGCCGTCCGCGCCATTGACCCGCCCTCCGCTTACTCCCTCAACCTCTCCCGCGCGCAAGGCGTCGTAAAGGGCCTCACCGGCGGTACGTTCCCTCCCCTCCCCTTCCGCACCCCTCAATACCAGACCTCATACGATGGGGACAGAGGGATGAACGGAGACCCATCTATATGCAACACAATTCGCTGACGTTGGACTTTCCCCCCAACAGCAATCGGCAACACCCCGCTCATCCGCCTCAACCGCCTCTCCGCCGAAACAGGCTGCGAAGTCCTCGGCAAAGCAGAATTCATGAACCCAGGCGGCTCCGTCAAAGACCGCGCAGCCCTCTACGTCGTCAAAGACGCCGAGGAGCGCGGGCTCCTCAAGCCCGGCGGCACCGTCGTCGAGGGCACCGCCGGCAACACGGGCATCGGCTTGGCCCACGTGTGCCGCTCCAAGGGGTACAAGCTCGTCATTTACATGCCCAACACGCAGTCCCAGGGCAAGATCGATCTGCTGCGGTTGTTGGGCGCCGAGGTGTACCCCGTGCCCGCGGTGGCGTTTGAGAATCCGGAGAATTATAACCACCAGGCGCGCCGCCATGCGGAGAAACTGGAGAATGCGGTGTGGACGAATCAGTTTGATAACATCGCAAACCGGAGGGCGCATATTGAGACTACGGGCCCGGAGATCTGGGAGCAGACGCAGGGGAAGATTGATGCGTTTACGTGTGCCACGGGGACGGCTGGTACGCTGGCCGGAACGACGCGCTACCTCAAAGACATCTCCAACGGCCGCGTCAAATCCTTCCTCGCCGACCCCCCGGGCAGCGTGCTACACTCGTACGTGTCCTCGGGCGGTCAGCTCGTCGAGCGGAGCGGATCCAGCATCACCGAGGGCATCGGCCAGGGCCGCATCACGGATAACTTGCAGCCCGACATCGGCCTCGTCGACGGGTCGCTTACGATTGCCGACGAGAAGAGCATCGAGATGGTGTACCGCTGCCTCGACGAGGAAGGGCTGTACTTGGGCGCCAGCTCGGCTCTGAATGTTGTCGCTGCCAAGGAGGTGGCGGAGAAGCTCGGCAAGGGGAATACGGTCGTGACGATTCTGTGCGATGGCGCGTATCGGTATGCTGAGCGGTTGTTTTCGCGCAAGTGGCTTGAGGAGAAGAAGCTTCTGGGGGCGATACCGAAGCATTTGGAAAAGTACATTGTTTTGCCTTAAGGGGGGAAGCAATGGCGGGTATGGTTGGTTGTTGTAGAGCGGACCTTGTCTTTGGTCGTGGTTGTGTGCGTATTGTGTTGTATACATAGATAATTTTACATATCAGCTGTACATAGCCCCTTTTTGGAGCCTCTGATTCTTCCCCTGTGGTCATCTCACCACCTCCCCCTTCCAAGGCATCTTTCCCATGCCATGCTATTAGAACACATCTCTACCCACAGTCCATCCGTTCATCCCATACACCATCCCCTTACTCGGACCCAAAAAGCGCATTGTACGTCTTGAGCCCACGCTCAGCAGGGAACGTCTGGTTCTCAGCAACATCCTTCACCTCGGGTCCCAACGCCGCCGCGATGGCATTCAACCGATCCGCGAGCGGCTTCTCCACCACGCGCGCCGCCAAGAACAGGCCGTGCAGGATCGGGCTCGCGTACGAGAGGTACTGCGTCCGGCTGTGCACCAGGTACGCGACACCATCCACGCGGTCGGCGTACGCCTCGGCCGGGTGAAGCTGCAGCAGGCCTTTACCCGCGGGCCACCGCTCGACGAGCTTCTTGGCCAGCCGGCCGACTTTGCCGTCCACGTCCTTGCTGTCGTTGTGCTTGACGGCCAGCACCGCCGACAGGTGCAGCGCGGCGCCGAGGATCTGCGGGTCGTTGAAGAGGGCGAAGCGCTCCTGCTCGGTGACGCCACCCTCCTGGGTGGCCAGCTGCCTCTTTCTCAGCTTGCGGGCGTTGGGCGCGTGGCCCTTGTCTTCGAGCATCTCGAGCACAATCTCGCTCCACCGCAGCGCCTGCTTCGTCTTCTCCTGGTCCCACTCGCTCTCAATGGCGCGCATCTGCACGAAGTGCAGCACCTCGTTGACCTTTTCCGAGTTATCCAGCTTCATCCCCGTCTTGCGGACCTGTCTCGCCGCCTCGATAATGGTGTAAATCTGCCCCTGCTGGCCGGCTATGCGAATCATCTTGGCAAAGTCCGTCTGGCTGTAGTGACGCCCCGCGGTGCGCATGCCCGAGAGCAGACGGCCAAAGTTGTTCCAGTCCTGCGGGGTCTCCATGGCGCGGAGGGCCTTCCAGGTGATGTCGCGCGAAGGGGGCAGGGCCTCCTCGTTGATGTGGTTGAAGCGGTGCTCGAGGCCGTCGATCTCGAGGTATACGGGGTCGTTTTTGAGGCGGTGCTTGAGCTTCTCGGAGAAGACGCGCTTGCGCTGGTGGATGGGGAGGTGGTAGGGGAGGATGATGTTTGTCTGGATCTCCTCGAGAATCGGGCCGAGGCCGGGCGTCGTGGTCTTGTCGAAGAGGACTTGGGGGTCTGCGAAAGGGAAGCACCTGTCAGTCCGAAACCCATCTCTCAAAAAATGAATGCGAGATATATATCACAAGACATACTTTGACGAGCAGGCGTCTGACCAAAGGACCGCTGCTGCTGCTGCTGTGCCATGCACGCCGGCTGATCCCACACCGACGCCTTGGCACCCCTAAGGGCCCTTCCCATTAATATCCTCGACATGATGGGCGAAATGTATGTGTGGTGTATAAGCTTGTCGAAGGACTTCCTTCAACCGTCGTCGGCGAAAAGGGAGCTACTCGGAAGTGGCCTGCAGCCTGTGCAGGGTAGCCACCCGAAATTTTGGATCGAAGGACTTCCCGGCCCGCGGCTCCGCATCATTGATGCCCCGAGCCAATCACAGCCCGCAATTCGCACCTCGACGCCTCTGAACTTTTTGAACCCTTTGACCTTTCCTCTCTCTGTATGTCGTCGTTCGAGGAGCTGTAGCTGTTGCATCGTCCCATCGCGAGACAACACAACACAACACCAACCACGATGAACGCCACAAGTCTCTTGCGGCCGATGGGCTGCTTGAAGACGGCCCTCCGCCAGACGCGGCACCAAAGACTCCTCGCCCGCTCCATGGCCACCGCCGCGACCCCCGAGCCCCCATCATCCACACCCTCCCCGGCGTCGACGCCCTCAGTGAAGCCATCCTACTGTAAGCCAACAACATCTCCAAACCACCACACAACCTCCCTTCAGAAAGGCTAACCACCAACATCAAACACACAGACGGCCCCCGCGACAAACCAATCTTTGCAGTTTACCCCTCCCCCCCTTCAATCCGCCAAACCCCCCACAAGAACCCCCTCCCCTCCCTCGACGCCGCCCAACGCACAACCCTCGACCCGACCGGCGCCCGCACCCGCCTCTTCGACCCAGCCCGCCCCGACGCCGCAAAAGTAGGCGACGTCCTCATGGTCACGACCAAATCGGGCGAGCCCTTCTCGGGCGTCTGCATGTCCATCCGCCGCCGCGGCGTCGACACGGGCATCCTCCTCCGCGGCCAGCTCATGAAGGTCGGCGTCGAGATGTGGTACAAGATTTACTCCCCGACCGTCATCGGCATCGACATCGTCTGGCGCCGGCCCAAGCGCGCGCGCCGCGCGAGGTTGACGTACCTGCGCAAGCCCAAGCATGATATGGGTAACGTCGATCACCTCGTCTTTGCTTGGAAGAAGGAGAGGTATGGTACGCGTAGCAAGGGCAGGGCTGGTTCGAGGTTTTAGTAGACAAGGAGGAGGATGTCCTTCTCTTCGGGGCTTTTTGTCTGAAAGATACGGACGAGACACTGATTTGAGAGGACGCGTTTGATACGAGGGTAAGGCTGTATGTTGGTGGTATGTACGATCAGAGAAAAAAACGGGCAAGCTGTACAACATTGGCCTGTGTAGAGTCGTGTACATGAACAAAATCACTTGAAATATTAGAGGCGGTGATGGCTATGAAAATCATGCCAAGTGATTCAGGGGCTGATTGACAGGCCACAACGACAACATGCTCAACAGAAGTGTCGAATGGATCAGTCACGTCAAAGTTTAAATCTTACAAGCTGGTTGGCACCCAGCAGATGGCCATATCAAAGTTGAAACGTGCATAGTTGTTCATCAGTCGTCATAAGTGTACACTATCCTAAGAATGTACAGTGACAACAAGCGCCAAAATCAAAAGTCTGTCCGCGGCCTGAGCCATCTAGTCCGCCTTGGTTTTATAGAAACGACTGGATACCGCGCCAATAAAAAAAAAAAACATGTTCCCACCCTGATTACTCCATAGTACAAACTCCTTGCAATGTATGCTCCTTTTCCATTGGTCACAAAGGTTAACTCGCGGTTCTCCATTGCGGCAGCTTCTAGCGTGCCGGTGTAGTTAATACTCTCCGTGCAGGCGCTGTAATCACGTCGCTATCGGTATCCGTAGTCTCGTCATCAACGGGCTCCGTATTGCGCCTCCTCATATCCGCGGCCGTCGGCGGACGTTCGTCGACTCCAAACGATCTGCTACGTCTGGATAGATTGGTGAGGCTATCCTCGTGTGGGATCATCGGACCAGGGTGAAGAAACTGGGTGATGATGTTGCCTTGGCTCCTGTTCGTGCTCATCCTTCTCGACCTCAGGTTGGACCTCGTGGCGCTGAGCGCAGTTCCCGTCGATGCGGCAGTAGCAGACCGAACCAGAACTGGCTGCGCCTCAGCGGCTTCCTTCTCGAATCGAGACTCGCTTGGCAAGAGAACAGCGCGATCCAAGCCGTAGGGAAGGCCACGATGGCGTCCACGAATTTGCATCGCAATCATGATGAGCTTGCCTCCGGTAGTAAATTGAGAGCAGAGAGAGGCGTTCACGCCGGTATAACCCAGACTCAGCCCGACCGTACCGTATGCACTTACGATCTCGAACAAGACCGAGTAGACGTCGAAATCCTTGTTTTGAATCCTCTTGCCTTCCGTGATGGCCAGAATGAACAGTCCCAAGAAGACGTACCACAGATCGAAAGAAAGTTGGCGACGCAAATGGGTACCGACGTATGACCAGGCGCTATTCTCGTTGGTGCCCTCCATGTCCTCGTCGGGGCTGTGGTAAACACCCAAGGATCTCTCTTCGTACACGTTGGTGCGACGGATCGAGATGGCGATCGGGAAGACGGAGATATACATCATAATCATATACGACACTTGCACGGCGGGATGCAGGAGCGCAATGTTGACAACCGAGAAACCTGCAGTTCTGGTCGACGCAGCCTGGAAGATACCGTCCACAATGCGAACGTGCACCGGCAAGTGGCTCACAGCGTTATCGTTCAGCTACGAACATTGTTAGCGTAGATCAGTCACAGATGTCGAGAACAACTTACATCCAGCAGGACGAAGAACAACAGGTCAAGAACATTGAGGCCGATGAGAATGATGAACAGCCACCAGGTAGCGCCTGCCGGGAAAAGCAGAGTGAAGCATCGACGCGGATGGTCCAACAAGAAGCGTAATTCCTCCCATAGTCCACTACGTTTTGGCACGATCTTACTCAGAATCCAAATGACGACTCGAAGCATGATGGGGAAGCCGGTGTTGCCAATAATGATCAGGAAAGACATGATCAACAGGATGAACGACGCATCGTTGAACGAGTTCATGCTGTCAGGCGTAAGAGTGAGTCCCAAATCGTTGAAGGCCGAGTTCGCTGTAAAGATTCCCCACCAGGCCTTGCTGACACCCGAACTCTCCACGATGGCGGCATATTTGGAATTGGAACTCGTGTAAATCCACGGGAGGAAGCAGGTGATGGCGAAAAGCGAGAAGCCCCAGAAGTAGCAGAGCAAGATGACGGCTAGTGTCCTCAGGGACCGGTATTCGATACCACCTAATTCCTCGCGTTGCTCAATGGTCAAGCCCGGAAAGGCCGAGTTGCGTCCCGTTGTAGGCGTGAAACTCAGGTACGGCATGTCCTCGACCTTTTCGCGGGTCAATGCAGTCCTGATGGTGTCGAATGTCTTGCTCCTGACTCTCGCAAGTGGGTTCTCAGAGGTGCTGCCCTCGCCGTTGTCGCTGCTGCCACCCTTGAAGAACTTCTTGGGCTTACGAAGCGAGAAGGGAAAGATGGTTCTACCAATCACCTCGGCTTCATCCGCGATCTCGTCCTTGACCGTTCTCTCGGTATCCCTGGGTCGCTCGGGCTCCTCGATCTTGATCGTTTGTGGGCGGTGGACATTGTTGCCGATATCATCCGACAAGTTGTTCGCTTCGCCGTTAACGTGGATATGCGGAATACTGCCGTCTCCCTCGTCTTCGGGTTCAGGTGCCGCATCGTCCTCGACTCGCTTCGGCTTCATGCCCCTCTCCGCGTCTCTGGGGTTCGGAATTCGTAGTGTCTCATCGGGCCCGGCCCGTTGGCGCTCAAGAATGGCAAAATGAGCGGGCGAGTGCGGTGATGGGAGCTTGACTTCCGGTTCCGTGCCGTCGCTTCGGAATACATGCTGGGCAAACGTGATTCGACCTTGGGTGATATCCGTTCCGGTTTCTTCTTGGGTTTCGGGCGCTCTAGCTGGCGACTGTTCTCCAGAGTTATGTGCCGGTGTGTTGGGGACGGGAACAAAACCGTTGCTCCCCGGCGAGATGCGACCGTCCTCGTCCTCCTTCATGTCGAGTAGGATGCCATCATTGGTCATTCTCGAGCGGTGGCCATTCGTGTGCATAACCTTAATATTGCGCACGCTCAAGCGGCCCCTCTCAGCCTGGTTCAAGTCATCCCTCGCGCGGGACTTTGATTTAGATATGGTGTTTCTGCGTTGTTGGCGAGCCTCGCGGACGACTCCTTGAAAACGCTTCTCGAACCAGTACAGTCGGAGGAACACAACGGAAGAGTGAATGGTGATGGGGTTCGAGGTCATGGTAAAGAAGTAGAGACATGCTTGCTGAAAGGTGTTGAGCAGGTTGACGTCGACTGTGTTGAGACCGGCTTGGGTGTTGGCACCACTTGCGAAGTAGAGAGCGTCAATGTAAGCCAACTGGCCGCCGGCGGAGGCAAAGATGAGGATGGAGCCCACAATGGTGAGACTGACAATCCAAAAGTCTGAAGTGGGAGCGCGGTGCGCAGATTAGTGCTGTGCGCAGCGCAAGGCCTTGTGGGCACTGGGAATGGTAAGTTGGGATGGTGAACTTACAGTGAGCCGAGATGAAGTTGAAGTGAGGCTTCTTGGACATAAAAGAAGGCTTGGCTGCCCGGAGCTGGGCGAGCAGCCAGCCCTGCGCGGTTTCGAGCATTTCTCTCGGATCGCGAAAGTAGCTTTGTTGGTGTTGTTGATGTGATGGAGGAAATTCCCCTCCGATTTAGAACCAGAGCAGACAAGACATCGGCCTTCGGGGGGAATAGGTATAAGAGAGATGGTGCAGTGAGAATGGGCGAAATGGTCCAGGCCTTGGCAGTGTGGCTGTGGCTGTGAAGTCTAACCGTCCTGGTGTAGAGGTCGAGGATTGGATGACGGCTAAGCTGGAATTCATGACGATCAATTGGTACAGCGGAGGGTGGAGGAAGTAGCAGTAGCCGGGCGTAGCAGGTGTGACATCAGTTCTGGTCGTCTGTTATTGTTGCAGGGCAGGTAGGTTTTGTCGGAGGGCGCAATGGAAAAAAAAACAGGATGGAGAAAGAAGAGTCGAAGTATTCTCGTCTGCCTGTATGTATCTGTGGGCAGGTGATGGGTGGTAACGTGTGGTAAGGTATGGCCTTGATCGGACGGGTTCGATGAAATGAGATCAAACTTGGTGCTGCAAGTGTCGCAGGTGCAGCCCAGCAGAATACAGATTGGATTGCAGATGCCGACGCCAATGAGCCCGGGCAGGGAGCAAGCACCACTACCGCTCGAGGGTGGCTCAACTCTTGGCTCTTCACAAGGAAGAAGCAACCTGAGCTGCCGGCGACTGTTCGTAATGACAAAGGCGAGAGCAAGAGATGGGAAAGAAATGCCAGAACGGATTAAGGTACCAGGTAGGCAGATATTTGTGCTCTCCCACCCCACGGGCCAGGACGAGACGAAACGAAGGCGTCAAACCAATTTTTCCTCGCTGTTAAAATAATTTTTTTTAATTAGAAAAGGGAGGCAAGCAAGCCCGTTCGTTCGTTCGGCGTGCGGGCGCGTCGGGGGGGTAAGCTCTGGACGCTTGCCCTGGAACTCTGGAGACTGGAGACTGGAAGTGTGAGGTGTGGAGTTGACAGTTGACCGCAAAGAGATTCAGTAATCCAACCGCGGTGCATCCAGCAGCATCCACATCTGTCTGCAATGTCCACTCTTATCCTTGCCGTGGAACTGGAGACGCCAAACCGTTCCGTCAGCACTTTCAACATTGGACTGGCACCACTGGAACCTGGAAGGCGCATCGAAGTTGACGGCGTGACGGCGATGCAGTCCCTTTCCTTGCGGTGCCTGGGGGCAATACCGAGCTAAGCTTTTCCTGGCACTGGTAAGTAGCTATGGCCCCACTTTGGATGGAACAGAAAATATACATCTCAGATGTACCGCACTCCGTCGCCAATGCACCTCAGACGAGAACGATGGAGTGGGCCATGGAAGGAGGGAGCCGTCTTCCTACAACGGGCAGCACCGAACCTCACCGCACCTCACCTTGGAAGTCAGAACATACCTACCTACAGTATTAGGTATCATTATCGGGAGCACCGCGGATGCGGCTGCAGTCACCTCACGTCAGTCATATCAGGGCTGATCACCTCACACTGCCGCCTGCACGACCTTGCCTCTCGCATGCCTTCTGCCCATAAACCATTGGACAGCCGATCGCACCAAAGACTCCCCCCCTCCCCCTGTGACAGCAGATGGCTGCAGCATCATGTCGAAAACTTGTCGGAATGATCGCCAATCATCTGCGCACATCATTCATGTGCTGCTATCTTTATGCGAAGCATCGGTTTCCGCCCGCTCAAGTCTTGGTCCTTGAGAATCCCATGGGTCACGCACTGCCTTGGAAGTTGGGATACCTTACAGCACGCCGCCTGCAACCTCGACACACGTCGGTCTGCTCCGATCTCCAACATCGGTCTTCCTTAACGTGGCACCAAACACTTAGCCTGCCATCCTAATGGTTACGCAAGGCGAGATTGGTTGCAACTCGCGAGATCTGTTTCGTGGCGTGCCATTCCAAGACACGCCAGAACAAAATCCCCTAAAATCCCCCAACCAAGCTGGCGGAGTGCCAAGTAACTTTAATTCCATGGTGGGTCGGCAATATGTCGCCCGTCCATCCAAGCAGAGCACTCGCACGCTTGCTGTTCACCCCCAAAGAAGCAACAACACCAGCTGCATCGTGACAGGGGCACCACGTCCTACCGTCCCTCCCACGCCGGCCTGTGGTGCACTGCATCGCTCTAGTACGTCATTTCGTGCCAGCACATCTCTTACGCTCCTTTGCTGCATCTCATGGTTTTCTCCGAGAATGCCCCATCCCTGGTGTTCCTGACTGACCATCTTCTCAGCAGCAGTGAGCACAGCACCAACATGTGAGCATATGCCTCAATACACCACCTAACGCACTAGCCAAGACATTACAACACGTTTGATATATAGGTACTGCACTGCCAGTGCTACCATGCACCTAACACACAGCCTAGGTATCCCACACGACTGGGCTGGTCTTGTCTACGAATTCTCCCCACGGAGTACACGCGTAAGAAGTACACATACACCAAAGTCAAAGCCGTCCGTAACTCACATCAGCGCCGCGGACCCGGGGGTTTATTGTCTTGCGAGCAAGCTTCTAGCATGTTTTCGACCGCCTCACAATCAGCAAGAAACTGGCTAAGCTCCCGGGCGCGCGCACCTTCAATATCCCCGTAGTCACAACACCGCCGACGAATAATGCCTCTCTACCCCTATACATTGAAACGGCGTGGCACTCCGTCTCCAACAAGACATCCCGGCCGAGAAGACCTTCAGTCCGACAAAGCTTGAAGCTCCCGGCGAGTGGTACCCTGCCAGGGAACATCCAACCCCTACCAGAAACACTCACTCACTGCCCATGGCTATGGTAATGTTATCAAGCAGGTGCCATTTGCACGCCACGGCGGCCTGTGAAACCCGTCGGCGTCCCCAGGAGCAGATCCCTCATCCTGATGCCCATTGACCCTTTTTTAGGCGCAACATATCTCTTACAACGGGGGCCTTTCAGTCGTCAGCACTGCCTAACCGACGATCTATGGATGCCTGCCTGGGGAACCCGTACGTCCCGTTCGTTGACTCTGGAGGCAAAGTCGCCCTAAAGGGAAAGTTGACCAACAGCTCAACCACACTGGCTTACCCTTTGCCGATAAGGAACTCACGGAAAGGCAATGCACCTCCAGCACGGCATTGTGTCATTCTCGTTGTCAATCACAACCCCAGCCCGCGGACTACCGGTCGCTTCTTCCGTCCGTCACATCGACCAAGTCCAGGCCAAGCACACCATCCGCCGAGGAGACTACCGATAACCAACTGCCATTTGCCAAGCCTTCTCTGTAATACCAGTCATTTCTCTCTCTCACCACCGACACGAGGTCGTCGCCAGCATATTCCACCACCATCCTCCTCTCTTTCTTCACCGCCATGCCGCCAATAATGCTGTACACCTCCTCCGGCGTAGCGAACCCTGCATGCGATTTGTGAGATGGTAACGGTACGGATACATTGGACGCTCATCTCCCAGTCTGGACGCCAAGGATCCCATCGGGCCTCCAGTACGAATACCCCAGCCGCGCGGAACAATGCCCAGATCTGCCAGATAGGCAACGCAAGATGATGGCAAATGCAGCAATCCGACTTAACCCGCTGTCTGCCAAGATCACACCCATTTGCTTCTGATTTATTCGCTCGTGGGGCCCACGTGAAGGACTGGTAGGTTCTGACCGGCCGGCCGTATTCGTTCGCATAGATTGGCCTAGAAGCATTGCCAAATAATGTCGATGTTGTTGCGCCTCTATCCCCCCTGTCTTCGACTACAAACGGTCGAAAGGGGCAGCATCTTGGCGACTCGAGTCGCTTTCAGCTCACTTTCCCCTTCTCTATCCCGCTGCAACTGGATAACACTTTGATATCGTAAAGATACCCGGAAATGACGCTCACCAAAAATAGCCATGCACCCTTGAAATCCAACCCCCAATCTTGTTTTACGAAACATTCTCGACCGTTACAACCACAGCTAATTGAATGCTGCGTTTGTTGGTTGTCTTTCGATTCTTGTTTGCCATTTAGCCATTATCAACTCCTTGATGAAACTTGAACATTGCTTTATTATCATCTCGGCTAGGTTGAGGGAAAGCGAACAGGAGGGAAAAAATGAAGAAGAGGAAGGTCGCTTGCGGGATTCGAACCCACAAACTACAGCTCGGTAGATTTGCAGTCCAGGATTAGGGGTATAACCATCTTAAGCTTCTGGGCAAGAGTCCCTTTTACTGCTGGTGACAACGGATGAAGGTGAACCAGATTATAGAGCCCATGGCATAGGCAACCGACATTGTCTGCGTATTCAGTAGAGGCAATACTCACGAGCTGTAGGCTAGTCACATGCAGCACAAGCCAAAGACTAGCATTGGGGCAGTTTCTCAGTATCAAGTCTCAATAATGAGTATTGTTGTATCATGTGCAGATCTATCTGATCTTTCCACCGCATCCAGTCTTGCGCCTCCATGGCGTGTGTGTGTGTGTGTTTATCTATAATACAATGAAGCAGATTCGAATGCGCCGTTTGCCTTTCCCAATAGCCAGAAGAAAGGCCCATCTCCGCCCTACCAGACGCCGTAACCCGTTCATGATTGCAATCTATCGCTTGGCCTTCTCTCTCTGGATCTTCTTGAAGAAGGCACTGCTCTCTCCCTTTGCCTTCTTAAGCTTGACTCTCTTGTTTTGCTCCATGTACGCCATGTCCTGTCCACCCGACAGGTCGCCCAACAGACCAGCCGTCCTCCTCGCGGCAGCCTTCTTCTTGCCCCTCGCCGGCGCGCGACCCATCGTGCCGCTGTGGAACAGGTCGTCAATGACCTCGTCTTCGCCGCCGGCCTCGTTCTCAATGAGGACCTTTTGCAAGAGCTCTCGTCTCTCGCTCGCCGCGGCGTAGGCGAGGCCGGGAGTCTTTTCAATGTTGGCGAGCTGCGTGATGACCTTGAAGGCGTATCCCTGATCAACGAGGAATGCCTGTCTCTTGGAAGAGTAGTACATCTCCTGGGTATCCTTTGACACCAAGGAATAGAAGAAGGCATTGAAACCCTCGTCGTTCCTCCTCTTGGCTCGCAAGATACGACCAAGTCGCTGCGCCTCTTGACGACGAGAACCGTAGTGTGACGAGATCTGGATGAGACAGGTAGCCTCGGGAAGATCGAGAGACGTGTCGCCAATCTTTGACAAGAATAGCGTGTTGACTTGAGGGTTGTGCTGGAAGTTTTGCAGAATGTTCATTCGCTCTGCCTGTCCAGTGCCGCCGAAAATGTAGGCTTTCTCCAGCTTCTCAGCATATGTCTTTAACGCGTAGACGTTATCCGAAAAGACAATGATCTTGTCGCCTCGAGACTCGTGGTAGTTGATCAGGTACTGAGCGGCTTGGAACTTTCTAGGGTTCATGATGTATAGCAGCGCTCGCTTCCTGGCTGACGCTTTCAAGTACTCGTCATAGAATTCCGTCGTCATGGGGCACCAGACCTCAGCGCATTGAACCTTGGCAATGTGGCCTTGTTCACTGAGCTCCATCCAGTTCGCCTCGTATAACTTGGGACCAATCAAAAAGTTCAGATCCGAAATCTTGTCGTCTTCACGAAGAAGTGTGGCGGTCAGGCCAAGCTTCGAATGCGTCTTGATGGACGACGTGACCTTTCTGAAGATATTGGCGGGGACAACGTGAACCTCGTCCAGAAGCATCAGGCCCCATTCTCGCGTCTGCAAAAAGTCCATCATCTTCTTGGCCTCGTGGGAACGCTCCCTAGTTTGCGTTACCATGGAGTATGTGGTGACAATGATACCGGTGTTACCCGGAAAGATCCTGCCCTTGTTGTCTGACGTGAATGCTTCGATATCCTCTGGCTTGATGTTGGACCACTTGAGGAATTCGTTTCGCCATTGCACGACAGACATGGAACTGGTGCAGAGGACGATGACGCCCTTCTTGACGGTGCAAGCTGCGGTGATACCGACAAGCGTTTTTCCAGCACCGCAAGGAAGGACGATGAGACCGCTCTTGGCTCGTCCGTTACCAAACATCTTGCTCAGACTCTTTTCTTGGTAGGGTCGAATCAAGGTGCCCGGACGCAAGTCGATCTCCAGGTTCGGGTTGGCCTCGTCTCGTCGGAAATCGTACTCCTCCAACACCGGATACTCCAGTTCAAGACACCTCTTCTGGACGGTCTCGACTGCCTCGTCCCCGATCTCAAAGGCATGCGTAATCTCCTGATCCTCGTCGTCGTCATCGTTCAGTGCCGCGTAGACCTCGCCTTTCTTCACTTCACCCTCACGTCCCTTGGCCTTTTGTTCTTCTGCCTGTCGCACACCGGCAGCGTTGGCAGTGCCTGGAATAACCAGAGGGCCCTGTTTCGGAGCCGCTATTGTGGTAATTTCGTCTGTGCCGTGTACTCGCAGAGGCCCGATGACGGAGTCCTTCAATAGCTTCTGCAGGATGACTGGATCCGTACTTTCGACAAAGTATTTCGTATTCTTGAGTACCAGCTTGACCTTGCCGAAACTTTGTGTGCAGCCCTCGATGAACTTGCGAATGCTGTCGGGCAAAGGCATCTTCAGGAACCGATCGAGAGTGTTGATGATGTCCTGTGGTGACAAGCCCACGGAAACCGCAGCGTACAAGCTGTGTGTCGTGAGGGCATATTCGTGGACGAAGGATGGTCGGGAAATGGGTTCGGCAATGGTAATGAGAAAGTCCTGTGCTTGCTCGGCCAGCGGATTGAAGCTTTCGAGGAAAATACGTCCTTTCGCAGGGTCGATCCAGAGCGGGCGATTCTGATAGTCCGGCTTCAGCTGAAGGAAGGAGAAGTCGCGCTTCTTCTTGAAGAGTCCGGTCATGGATTCGTGGCCATTCGCCTTGGGCCTGTCCAGGTAGGCCTCGACGGAAAACTTATCGACGTTCTTCTCGAGATTCTCGTCTTCCGACTCGCTCATGGGATCCGCTGCCGACTCATTATCGCTGGCGATGCTCCTAGGGGTGGCGCCTCCAGGTGTTGAAGCTACAGAGCCCTTTCCTGCCTTGAAGCTGCCGGTGACGGCCCCTTGAGCCTTCCTCTTCGGTGGCATCGTGACAGGATTGTGGGTTGTTGGAGGTGAGATAAGGAATGGGTGGTTGTGAAAACCTAAGAGATGGATGGATGGATGATGTAGCCTGCAGCCAGGGCATCGGAGAAAGGTAAGCAGCTTTCAGCGGCGTTAAGGTTTCGCAGGTATGGCCTACAGGGGTGGCACCTTTTGTCACTGGCAGGCTGAGGTATTGCGGTACCTGTAGTGGGGACCACTGTACAGCGACTTCGCGGGGTGCAAGGTGGTGTAGGTACCGGGAAGGAGGACTTGGGCGACAAATCCAGACCCCGCCAAATTTATCAGCACCGCCAAATCTTTGATAGAAGATTCTCCCCATTGCCTCAACTAGCCGCCTCACAGCCACGACACGTTCGATTTGACTGTTGAGGGCGACCCTTACATTCATCTCTATAGCTTGCGCACCCGCACTCGTAACAAGATCTGTTGCTTACACCGCGAAGACAGTCATCATGTGGTGAGCCAAACAGAAACCCACAGCCCCTGACCGACAGCTCACACATCACCACAGCAAACACGTTCTCAACGCGCAAGTCGCGATTAGGTCTCCCTGCTGTACGTCGAATCCCTTTCCCTCAAATCAAGCTCGTCCGACTGATGTGATCGCCCTCAGGCAAAAAATGGTTCGACTGCGCCGAGTGTCACCATGAGCAGGAAAAGCACCCCCTGCTCCAGAGCCTCGAAATGGTCTTTGCTTGCAAGAAGTGCAAAAAGTGCTTCCGCAAAGACGCCGAGGAATTCGAAGACGCGGACGAATACTGCCCACACTGCGATAACCACTTCGTCATTGAAGCAAAGACGCCCAAAGCAGCCATCTCCGTCGAGGGCGAGGACGCCCGCAAGGACAGCCGCATGATCAAGGACGAGCGTATCCGCCCAGTCGCCGGACGATCAATATTCGACCCTACCGACGATGCGGACGTGCTGGGCTAAATTAGGGAGGTTAGCTGGGTAACGAGCATCGGTGTGGCAGCAAGCGATTTTATGGACACCGTTTTTGTAGATTTTCCACGGTCTAAAGGTGGTAATACATTGGTATTTGGTCAGATACCCTCATGAGTGTCGTCTATCCGCGAGCCGCAACGCCTAGTCCATTCCCTTACTCATCACCGTCACCCGAGCCCGAGCCTCTCGTGAGGATCGCCGCGCTTCCGGTGCCGGGTGTGCGTCCAGTCTTCTTCTTGGCCGCCTCCTCTTGCTTCTCTTGCTCGATGCTCTTGACGTGGTTCTCAATCTCCTCTACGGGAAGCATCTCAATCGTCTTGCCCGGTGCCATCAACGCGATCTCAATGTTCTTGGCTCCAGTCTGGACAACCTCGAGAAGAGACTTGATGGCGAGTCGGATGGTAGCCTCTCTGTCCATTTCCTCCTTGTAGTTGCGCTCGAGGAACTCGCGAACGGTCTTGCTGGAACGGCCGATGGCGTTGGCTTTCCTGCAAGGTATTAGTAGGAATTCATTGCGTCACATGTCATGAACAAGTCGCTCGTACCATGCGGAGAAGATGCCAGAGGGCTCGGTCTGGTAAAGGCGGGGGACCTTGCTGCCGCTGTCGAAGCCGACAATCAAGGTGCTGATGCCAAAGGGACGGACACCACCACTCTGTGTGTACCGTTGCTGAACACCAGCAACGTACTTGGTCATGTACTCGATGGAGGCGGGGTCTTCGACGGTCAGTCTGTGGGACTGTGCCTCTAACCGCGCCTTGTCGACGAGGATACGAGCATCGGCGTTCAATCCGGCGAACGCCAGGCAGACGTGGGTGTCGAGGAGCTGGATCTTGGAGGGGGTAATTCGGGTATCTTGCAGCTTCATGGCTGATCGCTTTTCGCATCCGAGGACGACGACATCTGTTCCCTTGACGCCGACCGCACACGTTCCTATGCTGATGGTTAGCCGGTTCCGCCCTTGATTGCGGCGGGCAAGCAGCATTACCTCTCTTGACAGCTTCGCCAGCGTACTCGACCTGGAAAACGTGTCCATCGGGACTGACGGTGTTAGTTGGGGGTCGTGAACAGTTTCCGGGGCAGGGGCAACCGTGACGAACCTGAAGACTGTTTGCGGGCTTGTGTTAGCTTGATACAGTGGAGCTGGGGGGCAAGAAGGAGGGGGGCCTTACCGGACAACGCTCTGTCGTATCCTGAAGCCATGGTGACGGGCTGATTTAGTGACGGATTATTGGGTATGTGTGTGGTGGTATACGGATTGGCGATATGTTTCGATGTTGCGGGACAATCGCCGTGATTGAAGAGGTGCGGTCGGTGGAGGGTGGATGGAGTAAGGTAGTGAGTTAAGGTAAGGTCGAGAGAGGCAGGCTGCAGGTCTGACGAAGCTTCGGCGCCTGCTGGCGTGGGAAAGGCTGAAAAGCTCCTGGAGCTCCTGCACGGCCGGGGAAAGTCCGGGTAATGGTCACTCAGGCTTGGGGTCTGTGCACTTATCCATACCTAAGGTACCTTATCGCACCTTCCCATCATGAGCTCCAGCAACGTCCAGTTTGTGTGTAAATGGGTAAGGTACCTTCTGGACTATATGGAAGTCTTCAACGACATTGAACTCAACGACGAACTGCAGACTGGAAATATTGCATCGTTCTCTTAATATCTCTAGATTTAATCAGAGGCCAGCCACTCCAGCACACCTTTTAGCATTCCCATCAAAACATTAACAATACATGGCCGGATTTTGGTCTACTACCTTAGGTCGAAAGTCGAACATCCAGCGCTCTCGACTTTGGTAGTCTCAGAAATGCAATGCGCCTGCGCCAACCTATACCTCCCATCGCCGTTTTTCCAAGTCAGTAAACCCCCCTGTCCATCACCAGGTGGACGGAGCGCATAGTAAGCCCACTCAAAACCTGGCAACGTCGGCCCACGATCTGCTCTGCAAAAGGTTGGCAATACCGTGGCCTTTGGAGGTCAAACGCAACCTAAAGTTCTCGCACCACATAATCTCGAGCTCACCGTCTCTAGAAGACGAGTTGATTTCGCGGTAGAACTCCATGGCCACGGCTAGTGGTGCAACCAACGTGTCCGGCTGAACTGTCGTCGATAGCGCAAAGTCAAGCGCCCTGCAGATTCTTGACGCATACTCCCGCCGCTGTTGGTATCTGGCCAGGTTGATCTGTAGACTGGGAGGCAGATCAGGGTACATGTTGGGAAAGTCCTCGATGACGGGCTGGAATATGGTGTGGTGCAGACACTCAATGCAGCGGTGAAGGAGCAGCAGTGTCATCCAGTGATACAGGAACATGACGGATGACACGCCGTCCTTGAAGGCAAAGTTGTCTGCAAAGGGTAGCTGCTGCGCATCTGGGTCGTCCGGCTCTTCTATCCAGTACGCATAAGGGTGCTCGGCAGTAGGTGCGCGGGCGTACGACTCCCACTCCTCCAGCCTCCGTTCGATTTCCAAGCAGCTCTCCAGCAGTTCCTGGGCCTTTAGCCGACGCTGCAAGGTTGCAGCAAAGGGTATCGTTCGGTCGACGCGAGACAAAATGCCAGGCAACCCGGCGATGATGTCAAAGAGCCTGTCGAGAAACGTCTTGGGGTGCTGTTCCCACGGAGTGGTGCACCACTCGAACGAAGAAAGGTATGTCGTCTTTCGGTGTAAGAGAGCGAGTATGATCTTGCCACTAGGTCAGCCTTTCGAGTCATCCGCAGGGTCAATGGCGCGTATCTTACAGCATTACACCTATATACCCGGACGAAATAGTGATGAGCTGGAAACTGGCGAAACTGTTCCGGGCCGAGCTTCTTGACGACGTCCATATGCTCCTGTGGGACACTCCAAGGAGTTATGCCGTTGGTAACCAAGAAGGATGGATTTTGCTACAAGCGCAGTCAGCACATGCTCTTCCACAAAGACGAGCTGGCATCTGACCTCAAACAAGAACACGCAAAGACCTCCCGGGACCCCGTTGTCGTTCCCCGATGGCAGCAGACTGACCATGTTCTGCGCATTCAGATCCATGTTGCCTCCGTTATCCCATGTCTCCATGTCAACTGGCGAGTATGGCGGCAGGGCCATCCGGAACTTTACTTGGCTTTGCCCTTCGGGTCCCCTGAGAATGTTCTGGAACCTGGTGTGCAACGCCGCGATCTGTATCGAGTACACGACACCGTTGTCGGACACGGAAACCAAATCATCCCACGCCGGCATCAACGGTTCTGTCGGTACCAAACGAGGAACTTCGTCTTCCACAGTTTGGCTTCTTCCGGACCTCCTCGAAGAAGACGGCTGCACTTGGCGCGGCGGATGTGACGAGCAGCGGCCAGCGTCGTCTATGGTTGCGGTGATGAAGACCATCTCTCGTTCGTACCCAGCACACTCGCGGCCGCTGTCGATACACTTGCGGCAGTGTGGGCGTTCGTTATCGCACTAATAGTTGACACGTCAGCCCGCTGGGGGCGTTTTTGCTGTCGAAACGCCTTTTAAAGTGCTTACCTTGACTCTTCGAGCCCTGCATGTCTCGCACCCCTTGTACTTACCGCGGACTCCAACCATCTTGACAACAGGGACGTTTGATGATGAGAGAGGTATTGCAAGAGAAGAATGGCCATAACCGATATCCTCTCGTCAGGTCGAACCGGGAAGAACAAGTACTGGGTCAGTTGATATATATCACATTGGGGAGCCGCAAGGGGGGAAGCAGGCATCAAACGGCCCCCAAAACTGAGAAGAGGGCGCGGATCAGTGAGCTTCTTACGTTGGCCACTGCCGGATGGGCTGTGGGACCCAAGGTAGACGGTTCACTTGGCTTCACACAAGCCCCCCTCGCGGGAGCCAGTTGATGGTGTGATGCAGCCTTACTACCGAAGGTGGACCGCGACAACGTATGAGACGGGACCAAGGGCGCGGGAATCACACATGGTTTGGTTCGCCACGGGACGAATTAGACGACTGCGGCTGCGGTATGCAGTCAGGCGGCCCCGAGACGATCAACGAATGCGATGCGCGTTCTTGTCGTGGTTTCAGGCATGGTGCGGGTAGATTGCGCCGGGCAAGTTGCAGCCGAGATGCGATGCCAATTACCTTGGTGAAAGTGTACCTGCCTTGGGTAAGGCAGGTAGAGGAGGCCATGATCCATCTTTGCTCCTTTCCCCTTACACGAGTGGAATCTAACCGATATCTAGGACATTCCTTCTTGCAAAATTCAAACCTTGGTTGACAAGCCCGCGAACGCAAATCAGCGGGCGAGACAGGCTGGAAGAGGAAAATGAGCGTGATTTAGCACCGATTGTGTGCATTCGTATGTGTGAGATGGTCCGAGATGCCTCGGCCATTCAGAAGGGATCGTTGCACCCTGTCAATGACACCAGCACCGGGAGATACTCCGGACATGCAGAGAGAGAGAGAGACTATCGATCGATGCTAATCAAAGTCAAAGTGTAAACAAGATTGATGTCAACCGTCTCTCATCCCTCCGTCCCAGCAGATGAGACTAGATGAGAGCATTGTCCCCCGCGCGGATGAGTGCACGTTCCAGGCAAGGCCCCGTAGGGCTGCATGCCGTAGCAGACCGAATAGACAGGGGTTCGGCTCGGAGGTGCGACTTCAAGACTTGCTCGAAAAAGAGCCCCACCTTCGGCTGGCGGAGCAAACTGCAGGACGGGATCCTCTCGACGGCGTGATTGGCTGCGGCGGAGGCTGACGTCGGTGCGGCCGTTCCCCAAGTGCCGCGTCAAAGTAAAGCAGCGAATGAGAGCGCAGCAAACCTATAGTGAGGGTGAGATTGTCGGTGCCCAGGGGCTGCCAGCACCTGTCACCACTCACCGTCAGCCAAACGGCGACGGAAAGCCCGGTCGGTCCAGGGGGCCGCCGAGAGACATACGCAGGTCGTTGACAGGGGTACATGGTACACTACTGTCTGCGGGATAGCTTTGGATCTGACTGACGGGGTAGGTACCAAGCAATGAGGACTCACGCGAACCACCCCCCAGAGACGGAACTCTGACGATCACACCGCGACCACCGGACCGGGAGTCGGTGACGACGCCATGTCATTGGAGGGTTGCAGTTCGACACCTACCTCTCCAGGATCGGAGGGCTGGGACGTACCGCAGCCAATCGATTTGGTTTCTTGGGATTTCACGAACCTGGCAACCTGGTACCGCAAATCACCCGGTTCGTTTTTTCGTTTTTTTTTATACCTTTTTGTGATATTCCCAGCCTAATGGTCTTACTGGGTCTGCACGTCTGGCAGTCTGCACTAGGAACTTGGAACCCATGATGACTTAGAACCGTGAGATCGAGTCACCGGTATTCAAGGCTGCGGGGGCTGACTTAAAAAAAAACAACGGACCGGAGCTCGGAACCTGCAAGTATCTGCGAAATCCCAACCTATAAAGTGACGAGAACTGCTGGCGGGGGGCAGGTTCTGGGTATTGCGGCTGAAAGTCCCAGGATTTGCTGTTCTTACAACTGACAGGTCCTTAATTATCCTTACACTACATCTGCTGGCTGCTTCTTCTGCTGCTCCTCTTCCCTCAAAACATCCGATCTGAGATGGGGGAGAAATATTAGGTCTCTCTTGGCGAGATATTGAGGGATCGGAGGAGAGGGAGGCCTGCCACGAGAGACACTGTACACAACCAACCCCCTCCCCCTTCTCCGAGAGAATTGGCATTGGCACACATCGGGGCTAACATGAACTCCTTTTTTCTTTTTGGTATTATGCGGTACAATGATGTGATGATATTCTGCTAAATAGAGAGAGATAGAGAGAGAAAATGTCCTTCTCCGCACCGCCTCCAAGTGAGACAAACCAGATCTCAAGATATGTCCGGATTAGGAAGCATGTCTTTCCCTACACAACGAATTTGGTTGGGGCTTTAGGTACTTGTCGTCACGTTTTTTTTATTACGACAAGACAAAAAATGATCTTGCCCTTGGATTACAAAGCAAGACTATGTTGCTTAACCATCTCTCGTATGGATGAGAAGACGGTGGGTGGTGGAAGAGCAAAAGAGGGACAATGTGGTGTGTGGGTGAGTGGGATGATGCGGGCAGTGTGATGCCTAGGTCGGTCACACACCCACAAGTGACCAAACCTAAGCCTTTCCACCCACTTCCACAAACCCGATCTTACGCGGGGGACGACGGACTTGAGTCCGGCTATCCTAGGCTCCTCTTCAAAGTTGCCTTGTTTGCTTGCTGCCTCCTCGCTGTCTCCTTCCTGGCAACTGCTGTTACTCCGTCCAGAGATGGGGGGAGGTATCGTATCTTGGCGCTTCCTTTTTAGATGTATTTGTAAGGGTTCATGATGCCGTTCTAATTGGTTCCAACGTCAGCATTCCTTCTAGGCTGCCAGGCAAGAGGAGAAACCCGGTGATGGGGATTCTCTATGTGTAGTGCGAGAGAGAGGAACCCTTCCCCGGAGCCGGGGGTTGGTTACGGTGTGGGGGGGTTGCATGGGGACGTAAGAGAGAAAAGTGACGCAACGTTGTTGTCGGTGTGAGAGAGAACCAGACAGGGGGTTGGAGTGAGAGTGAGATTTTGATGACTAGATGAGAGGAAGCAAGCGGGGGAAGAGAGAGAGGGAGAAAAGAAGACGAAAAAGGCAGCCGTAAAGGCACAGAACAGGTTACTCACCGGGTCGTAGAGATTCTTAATCTGCTTCATGAGGCCAACCATGGTCTCGTTGCGGCTGTAACCGATAAAGTTCTTCTTGGCCACGCCCAGGCCGTGCTCGGCGCTGATGCTGCCGTTGCGCGCCTGGATCCACTCGTACACAAATGGCTCGAGGACCTTTTCGATGCGCTTGTCGTACCGCCGCACGGCGACGTTGAGGTGCAGGTTCGAGTCGCCCATGTGGCCGTACCCGACGACGCCAATGGCCGGGAACTCGTCCGTGTCGCCGACGAGCCCGGCAGCCTCCATCTTGGCCTTGGTGTCGTCAACGAGCAGGTAGAGGTCCTTGAGCGGGATCGACACGTCGTACTTGTAGGTGCCGCCCCAGTGGCCCAGGCACTCTGGGATGCCCTCGCGCCAGCCCCAGAGGGCCTTGAGCTGCGTCTCGTCCTGCGCGAGGACGCCGTCCGAGACGATCTCGTTGGACATTACGTGCTCGAGGAACCCTTCGAGCTTCTCGTAGTCGTGGTCGCCGTTGGAGCCGGACGTCTCGACGAGGCAGTAGAAGGGGTGGTCGCCCTCGAGCGGGCGCTTGTTGCCGCGCACGGCGTGGACAAGGTCCTGGCTTTGGCCGTCCATGAGCTCAAAGGCCGAGAGGATCTCGCCGAGCTGGCCCTTGGCCGCCTTGAACGCCTGCTGGGCCTTTTCGTACGACTCGAGGCCGAAGAAGGCGACGTTGACGGCCTTGGAGCGCTGCGGGCAGATGATGGAGACCTTTGTGATGATGCCGATTGTGCCCTCGCCGCCGATGAAGAGCTGCTTGAGGTCGTAGCCCGTGTTGTTCTTGCGCAGCGTGCACAGGTCGTCGACGACGGTGCCGTCCGGCAGCACGGCCTCGAGCCCGAGGACGTTGCCGTGCAGACTGCCGTACCGGAGCAGGCGTAGCCCGCCGGCATTGGTGGCGACGTTGCCGCCGACGTGGCAGGAGCCCTTGGCGCCGAGGTCGAGGGGGAAGATGTAGCCCCTCTCGGCGAGGTAGCTGTCCGCGGTCTCGAGGATGACGCCGGCGTCGACGACGAGGGTGCCGCTGACGTCGTCAAAGGAGCGGATCTGGTTCATGCGGCTCATGTTGATGACGATTTCGTCAAAGACGGCCACGGAGCCGCCGACGAGACCCGTATTGCCCCCTTGCGGGACGACGGCGAGCTTCTGCTCGTTGCAGTAGGCCAGGATCTTGCTCACCTCCTCCGTGGAAGACGGCTTGACGACGAGGCGCGACTCGCCGCGGTACTTGCGGAGCCAGTCCTCGTTAAAGGCGGCCAGGTCGTCGGCCGCCTCGACGACGCCAGAGGGGCCGAGCAGGTCCTTGAAATAGGCGACGTGGGCGTCCGTCACCTCGGCGAAGCGGGTGTCGCGCTTGATGTCCGGGTAGGCGGCCGAGGTGAGCTTGATTTCCTTGAGGCCGCCGTCGGTCTTGGACAGCCTCGCGGCCGTCGTCGCGATGCAACGGGTAGTGGTGGTGGCGGCGGCGGCGGCGGCGCCGGCCGGGGCCGAGGATTGCCGCAAAACGCGCCGCCCACCGGCGGGCAGGAGGGATTGCCTCCGTGCCGCTGTCCGGAGAAGCGGCTGGATTCTTGATCTGGAGGCCATTGTGTGACTGTGTGTGGTGGGGTGTTTGAACGCAAGGAAAGGAGGAGGGACAAGAGACCAGTCTGGGATGGGAATGTGAGACTTTGGTCTTCTTGTAATTTTTTCTGTCACAAGTTCCGGCGAACTGATGATTTCCAGGTTGGAAGAAAAAACAAACCTGAGCAGTGACAATTGGATGAAAAAACACCGATTTCGGCTTTAAAATCACTTACGCCCCTTACGCCCCTGCAGAAGAGCCAGTGGCTTTGGCGGAATTAGCAACCTAATTGCGTGACGAATGCTGCTGAGCCGCCTGTAGCTGCAGCAGCTCCCGTCTCTCCACGGGGAAGCAGTCCCGATAATGTCATTCGGCGAAATTGAATTTTTCTCCGTCGGCAAAGTTTGCATTTTTGCCGAGAGCACTGCTCACCACTGTACCCTCACAGCTTGCCTACCTCATCTTGTTTATTTATGCTCGCTCGAGTTGCCAGAAATTGACT